ATTTTCTTAGTGACAACCTTGTCTTCTTGGACTCCTGTAGTGTTGGTAAGTTGCCCATAAATTATTTTTCTTTTCTCCTTTTCTTTTGACTTAAGAAGGCATAATGTGGCCAGTAAGCCAACAAAGGAGTTGGTGAGACTATACAGAATGCCTACCGTTCAAATTCAATCAGCAACATCTCATGTCTGGGTAAGAAGCTAGTGAACACCTGTACTCTGTAGAATGGGGCCAATTCATCTATTTCCAGTCCATGGATGTTTTGCATGCGTTTATTCATATGTTCATTCTATTCTTGCATTATTCTCCATACTTTTAAAAAACAAACACAAACCAAAATTAATATTAAAATGTTGCTTGTATAAATAGGCCCTAAATGCTGGATCCAAGTAGACTAGACCAATGGAGTTAATGTAACTTACCTAAGGGTTGACTTACAAAGATCCTACCGATTCAGTGGGTCTGTTTTAATTGGAAGAGGGGTTGGACGTAGGCCATATTTGTGAACATAGTGGCTAAAATCTGTTGCTTAGTATAGTAAGACAACTAAAGTTGAATCAATAGGTGTGTCAACTTTCTTGTAAATTCCATTTATTCAGACTTATTGTAATAACAACAATAACAAGGTCTTAATCACCAACATCAGCCATTTTCCTGGCCATGGCCATAAGCACAATATGAAAGAAATACAGGCCAAATCAGGATTGTATAAGCCGCATAAAAAGCCTTATAAGATGGCATGTGAAGAATTGTTTTCAGTCTGTGACCCCCTTCAAATATGCCCGGGGCCCCCTAGGGAGCCGTATGACCCCCATTGAGAATGGCCGACCAACATGATGATTTGATTTTACTGTTTTCCTTGTACTATATTTGTCCAGATTGCTATAACTTTCCTGTGGTTTGTGCATTTTACTTTTATTTTTTTTAATTGCCTTAAAAATTGTTACTTTGATTGCCCACTGAGGGTAAGTGTGATCCAAAAATGCACCAAATAAATAGAAAGAAATCTATTTCTATTGGAGGTAGTGGTGGTGGTAATTTTGTGCTCTGTTTTCCCTCTTCATCCAGTGCTCGACATTGGAAGCATGAAGCAAAAAAAAAAGGTATGATCTCATAGTTCGTACTGTTTTTTCTCTCTATGGTGATGTACACCATGGCAAGGTGTTAAAAAAAAAAAAAAAAAAGTTATGATCTCATAGTTCGTACTGTTTCTTCTCTCTATGGTGATGTACATCATGGCAAGGTGCTACTATGTGAGGAGACTCTTTTGAAGATGTCCAAATTGATCCTTCACCTACAGTGCAAACAGTCAACCTCCAAGTTATGCTGATGATCTGTTCCAGTGTCAGAAGCCCTCATTAGGAGTGGCAGAGAGTCACATTCTGCTCACTTGCTGTCAGAGATTTCCAAAGAAATGAAAAGAACAGAATGGTTTTGCTGAGCCGGTACTAATTATTGCAGCATCCGGAAAGCTTTGGGATTCATGCTAATTCTCAAATATCTCTTTCGCTCAGAATCCATTCCCTTGGGTAAACTTGCTGGAACGCAAATTATTTGACCATCCCTTCATAATTTGTTTTTCGTTCTCCCACACCAATTATCCTGACCAACCCAAACTTTTTCTTTAGGAAGGTCCCCCAGTTGGGAATTGCGAGCTGCTTTGGAAAAGGTTCTGTTTCACATGGCAAGCATGGGTTGTGTTTAGGTTTCGTGCTCACATAAGTGCACTTCATAATTCTGAGTGCCCTTTTACATTCATGCCACTGCTTGTTAATGAGGACAGGAAAAGCATATGCAACAAGAGATATTAAGCAGGGGTGCTGGAGAGGCTCAGATCATAAAGACAAGGAACGAGTTGTCATGAGCAAGAGTTAATATTAATATTTCATTAAGAGGGCCTGGAGTACCTATGTTATAAACCTCGTGGCAAGATGCTAGAACAGTAATATGTAGGAAGCTGCCTCAACAAATTATTTATCCAGCCCATGTATGCCTTTTCTGACTGACAGCTGCTTTTCAGACTTTGGGCCCTGGACGATTGACATCGCCAACTACCTGATTATTTTAACTGGAAATGTCAGACACTAGACCTGTATGAATGCTACCATTAAGGGTGGGCTGTGGTCCACTGGAGGAAGACAGAACCTCCCTATATGTTTGCTTTGACCACGGACTGCCTTTCTCTACCAGAAAGCTGTGGTCCCTTCCCAATAGAAGCAACAGGCTCTTCACAAATATTACAACTGCTGGACAGCTAAGTGGTTTAGGTATCTGGCTGTGGAGTGAGGTTGGGAGTTCAATTCCCTGCTGTGCATCCTTGGGAGAAGCTGGACTTGATGATCCATAGGATCCCTTTCAGCTCTACAAAGGTTGTTGTTATTTGATTTGCATCAGTGAAAGCACAACTGTTCATACCAATGATATTTGCTTAGTTTTTGTAAGTCTGCTTCTGCAACATAGGAACAATATCACCCTCCTTTTTCAGAGGAATTCTGGGATATCCTATCCAGAATCCTATTGTATGAGTGCACCATGAGGAACACAAACAGTGATCCTTTAATTAGCAGCAATTTATCCTGGTATTTATGACCTTGCAGTTACGCTAGTATAAATAACTAATAGGATTCTGGCTAATATCAAGAATGTGTGTTTAGTCGTTTAGTCGTGTCCGACTCTTCGTGACCCCATGGACCAGAGCATGCCAGGCCCTCCTGTCTTCTACTGCCTCCCGGAGTTGTGTCAGGTTCATGTCCATGAGGAACACAAACAGTGATCCTTTAATTAGCAGCAATTTATCCTGGTATTTATGACCTTGCAGTTACGCTAGTATAAATAACTAATAGGATTCTGGCTAATATCAAGAATAGGGGCCTGGAAATTTTACCTCAGATAATAACCGCATTAGAAGATGTTTAACAGGCCAGGATCTGCCAGGTTAGTTGCTAGAAACTGAAACTTGTGTTGGGGAGCTTGTGCCCAAAGGAAAAGGTTACCGGGCCATGGGCAGAGTTACTGCTTTGTTACACTTGCCAATCTTGAAGCATCAGCCAACTCTAGAAGCTGATCTTGCAGACTCTTCATCTACACTTGTAGAGAGCTCTATGGCTTAGTCCAAGAAAGGGATGAACCCCAATTTCAAATGGTGATGAATTCAAGGCTGAAAACCACTGGTAAATGGCCCCATCACACTGCATGATATTTCCGTACTTCTAGCCAACCGCCTTGGCAAAGTGGTTAAACTGCAGTACTGCGGTCAAGTCTCTGTTCACAACCTGAGTTCAATCCCAACAAATTCAGGTAAATGGCTCAAGGTTGACTCAGCCTTCCATCTTTCCAAGGTCAGTAAAATGAGTACCCAGCTTGCGAAGGGATGGGAGCAGAGTGTTGTTTGCAAAATTAGGCTGTAGAGCCAAAGAGTGCTCTGGTAAAAATGAACAATCGAATGAATGAATGAACAAATGAATGAATGAATGAAAAATTCATTTCTTAAGGCAGATCATAGGACCTGAAAGCCGGAGAGAACTCCATAAACTGGGAAGGCCTATATATAAAGAGTATTGGGGGAAGGACAATGATAAGAGGCCTGGAGGAAGAATTAGAGAGAAGACCAATTCTGGCTATAATATTCCCCAGTTGAAGGTGGTGTGAAGAATGTGTGAGCCAAAGTCCTGGGAATTCCTGAGTAGCGGAGACTATGTCATCATCTGCTCCCTGGCTCAACAGTTCTCTCCAAGCTTAGCAGCAATCCTCACAGAAGCTGGGAGACAAATGGATTTTCCAAGGAACAGTGTATGATGGCAAGCTATCCCTGCTATATTGTTTATTTATTTATTTATTGCAACATATTTCAGTGTGGTTTGGTCTGGGATGAGCCATGAAGACACGCTGACTTTACAAAATACAGTATGTGCAGAGTGCAGACTGATCCAGTTTTCTGCAGTTTTGCTCTTATTATCTCTTTGCTGTGGCCATTTTGAGAGGGTGCCACTCCGGCAGGCCAGCCAGCCTCTGATCATATCCCCACCTCTCAGTAAGGTCGGGACATGCGCATGTGGTCTGAGAGGCCGGTTAACTAAAAATAATAATAATAAATTTCTAAACATTTAACTTTTTGAGTTAGCCGGCTTGTCAGCTGGCCCAGGGCCCTCGGTGCATGACCTCGCCCTCTCAGCTGAAAGGTGTGGACATGTGCAGATGGCTATGGCATGTGGTGGGGATCTTAAGATGGCAGAGGCAGGAGGCAACAGGGGCAATGGGAAGTGGGTGGGGGGCAATGGGAAGGAGAGGGCAACTGTGTGGGGGCAGTGAACCAGGAGGTTTGTAAATTGCCCCAAACCCCATTCGTTTGGGAATGTTTGGGTTCTCCAGTTCAGACAAACCCGACCCTATCCGAACTAATAAATTAGCGATTTTGACGAATCTCCTGGTTTGTTTTATGGCGTTGTCCCCATCTCTAGTTTCCAGTTCTCCACATATCCCTCTCCACCACAGTAGCAGATAAAGTCAGTGGCGCTTTAAAATTCCAGGCTTAATGCTGCATAATGGCCTTAGACCTACCACTGGTAACGCTGGGGGTGTTTGCTGTTTGTTTCGTTTTGTTCCTGTGATTGATTATATTTATTAGAAATCTGCAGATTTTATCCTCCAAGGGGCTGATAAAGCTTCCTGCAGTCAGTATAATGAAGACAATCTGTCGTGGAAGAAAGCTTGATTGTCTAATGACAGCTCCATACATCTGTAAAAATGAAGCTGTGGCAAAGATGTCAATAAAAGCACCACACGCTTTAGGAGTGCAGAAATGTTTGCTTCATTGTAATAACAGTATTTTTTTTCCCCAGCAGCTCTTTCTTAACCCAGAGGAGACTCAACAGAGCAGCCATCCTAATGAGTTATTTTTCTTAACATGCACTAGAGAGAAAAATGAGGTGGTTTTTTGGTCTGTGTGTGTTAATGAAGCTAAGCAAAAGCAAAATAATGATTTCCACCCCTCCCTCCCAAATCAGCAGAAAGGAAAAAAGAACATGTCATCGGACCTCACGCAGCTGCCTAGCGACACGCTGTTACCCTGGCGCCATCACCAGAATTCTCATGGGCTCAGGCGGCAAAAGAGAGACTGGGTTATCCCACCAATCAATGTGCCAGAAAATTCGAGAGGACCTTTCCCACAGCAGCTGGTTAGGGTGAGTAGAACCTTTGAATAATTTACACCCGGGATTGATTGTCAGCCTGACTGTATACAATGCGCTTCCTGAAGCTTCTTGGTGAATCCTCTCCAGAGAGGAACTGTGTTCTTTGGAAAGTGAGCCTATTAAAAAACCTGGTTTCATTTTGGGGAGAGAAAGTGTTTATAATTTCAACATTTTTCTTCGGTGTGAAAGTACAGTTATATGAATACTCTTGTTTCTATGCTGCTTGTTTGTTTGCAGATGTCATATCAAAGCATCAATATAAGTAGTGTCAATTTCCATTACAGTGGTGTTGGGATACCCAAGGTGATGTCACCCTGAGCATCCACTTAACTTGGATCAGGGTGCAAAACTTCAAGTACCACTTCATTCAATATAATGGCAAACTATAATGGGTCACTATAATGGCAAAAAAAAATCAAACCCACTCTTCTTGTGTTTGGAGGTACAATTTGGTTATAATGGGTCACTATAATGGCAAAAAAAATCAAACCCACTCTTCTTGTGCTTGGACGTACGATTTGGTTCTCAAACACATAAGTTGATACTACAGACCATGGTCTGTAGTATCAACTCATGTGTTTGAGAACCAAATCGTGGCATGTAAGATTCTCTGTTGCTGGGGAACCTTGATTGCTGGGGAACCTTGTTTCTGGCATTATGTCATACAGTACTATCGGTGTGCAGGCTTATTTAGAAAGTAGATGAGTCCAGAGCCCTGATACAAGGGAAACAGAAGATTATGGCGATGAAGTGGGAGAGAAGGAGGGAAGAAAGCGGGGCAGTTTTTTTTTGAGCTTAGTATCTGAATACTTGTGTCAAAGACTTCATAAAAAGAGTGAGTTTAGAGCGGGATTCAAATGTTGTAAAAGAAGTGGGGCCTTGCAGGTGTTTCGGAAGAGGTAGTTTCGAACATGGAATAGAAGAGCTAGAGGAATGAAGATTGTGGGCAAGTGTATCTCAGAATTACTTTTTTGGACTACAATTCCCAGACATGGGCATGCTTCCTTAGACTTCTAGGAATTACCATCTTTAAAAATAAAAATAATGTTTTCAAGCTTTCGTGAAAGTTGAGACATGGGGTAGGAAGGCATGGAGTGTGGCAGATAAGTAGCCCCACACACGTTCTGGATCATGGCCATGTAAGGTCACTCATTTGTACAGTCATCCTTCTAAGCGAAGGGACATGACTTAGCAGCAAGAAGTTACATAAACAATGTGTTGAATTTAGAACTTACCGTATTTTTGCTCCATAAGACGCACTCCCCCCCCCAATAATGGGGGAAGAAAGTATTATGGAGCGAATACAGTAAAAAAAGGTTTCAACCACCACCACCCAGAAGCCTCCGACTGCCATGCTGGGAGGCCTCTGAACTGGCACCAGAGACTGTTTGCTATTTGAGCCAGGCTCAGTCTGCACTGCTGGCTTTCCAGGATCTGCTTCCTGGAGCCCACCTGGAAAACCAGCAAGGCCAACAGGCCTATGGCAGCGGGCAGTGAAAACAGCCAAGGACCAAAGGTGAAAGAGTGATTCTAGAAAGACTAGGAGAAACCACAAACACAGTCCCCCACTTAGGCAGTTGATTTTCCCACATTAGGGGAAATCACAGGGGTCAGCACATCCAAAGTGCAATAGATGAGCCTCACTCTGGGAAAGCCACTTTGATGATCATGATATCTCCCCTGCCAGGTATGAGTTGGAATGGCCCCTGAACCTCCTACCCCTTTCTGTGCCCTGTCCCCCAAAGGCATGGTGACCCCCCCGGCTGCACCTCCTGATCAGAACAGGGCTGCACAGC